TAGCAATAGCAATAGCAATAGCAGTAGACTTATATACCGCTTCATAGGGCTTTCAGCCCTCTCTAAGCGGTTTACAGAGAGTCAGCATATTGCCCCCAACAATCCGGGTCCTCCTGAGGAGAAATTTCCTGACAGTTAGAACAATTAATTAGTGGAACAGCTTGCCTCCAGAAGTTGTGAATGCCCAACACTGGAAGTCTTTAAGAAAATGTTGGATAGCCATTTGTCTGAAATGGTATAAGATTTCCTGCCTAGGCAAGGGGTTGGACTTGAAGACCTCCAAGGTCCCTTCCAACTCTGCTATTGTATTGTATTGTATTATAAATGCCTTGCATGCCCTAACAAATGGCTCTGCATGCCACCTGTTAATTTGGTGATGAGGAGCAATTTAATTTAATTAAGGCAAGGCATAGTCTTAATGTCCCTGCCAAAATCCCAAAACAGAAAACACTCAATTTGAGACACAAATGGGACTAGAAAGTGATTCCTTAAGTGGAATATGTAATCTGAATGGAATTTCATTTATAAATGTACATCTTTCTCTTGAATTTCACATTTAGTTTGGTAAAATTTCCTGTTGCTGTTGACTTTTGCTCCTTTCCTCAGCTATTCTCAGGGTATCAGCGGACAGCCATTTTTGTCTCCTTTTCTTTCTTATAATGTAGATTATTTTCAATTGCTTCATCTTTAATAATACCACACAATTTGGTCCAGAGTTTTTTAGGCATTTGTGAAATTTGGACCGCCAAATCAGTATCATTGGGACATGCAAGCCCCTTCACCACTTCAAGGTAATGATCCACGCAGGAGTTTTGCACTTTGTGCCTATGCAAAATGAGAATGGACATTTACAGATAGTCCTTGATTATGACTAGCTGCTTAATGACCATTTGAAGTTATGAGGGATACTCAATTCCGACAGCCAGGACCCATCCTGCAGTCACATGACTGAGTTTCAGACACTTGGCAACAGTCCCAATTTATGACTGCTTACAGCATCTTATGGCAATATGATCACAATTTATTACATTTCCTCCCCCCAAAATTGGTATTTATTTCTAGGTTTTGGCAAAACCACACCATATCAAGCAATGGGTTCTCTTAACGACTGCAGCATTTACTTCATGAGTGTGTCATCCACTTTACGGCCAATATGTATGTTAATGATGGCTGCAAATGGGTCAGTCGTGTAGGTGACTCACTTTACAACCATCATAACTTATGAAAGAATCTGTTACAGTTGTAAGTCGAGCTACTTGGGCGCATGTACTCTAACCTAGGCTTCCCAAAAGCATGAAGCAAACTCTTTGTCCTGACAAAAAAACCCTTTTATTAATTTACTGTGAATTCTGCTCATCCAGCAAAGTCTTTCAAGGGAGGATTTACAGTCACAGACCTTATCTGGCTTGAAGAGCTGCTAGGCCAATATCTGCAAAACTTGGCAAGGAGTCTCAAGAGAGTCACGAACCAATTAAGCGAGTTAATTGTCTCCAACAAATGCCACTCCCCTTTCGCTCCTCTTTTATTTCCTCTGGGTGGGGCCATTCATCATCCACCTGTGGCCTTAATCCCAAATGTTCTTTAGCTGTTCCCTTGGCCTGGCAACTCTGCGCATGCGCAAGCTGGGAACAGGCTCCAGCTGTTCATCTGCTTCACTGATGTCTGACTCTGAAGGCGGCCGATAACTGGCATACAGTTCTGACCCCCTCTCTGCCTCCGACACAGAGCCCTCATCAGAGCCTTCCCCAGACTCCAGGACTGGCCCATGTTCCTCCCCAACCTCCTCACTTTCCGCTGCAAGCTTTGCTGACCACTGGCGTGCCGTAACAATATTTTACCCACCGCAAAGCTTACCATGGACAGATGCTGCATACTAAATCTGCTAAGTTTTAAATCGAGGGTTTGTTGTGTTTAATCTCTGAAAGTGAGGAAAGAATATAGCAATCCTGACCCACAGAAAAAAAATTGCCCGTGAAGATAGCAACTACTCACTGAGTCCATAGTGAAGCAGGCTCTGTCCCAGTCCAAAGATGCTCCCATCTCTTTCAGCTGTTTGAATATTTCATTCCCTTTCCTGATATTGCAGAAAGAAAAAATAAATCTTTTTTGGTCAGAAATCCCAAGAAAAATACAAAGCATTTGACAGTGTTAACTGTTCAGGGAGAGGAGCAGGTGCCTCTATGCATACATGCAAACGCACCAATGGGGCTGCGAGCGTGCACTCGATGCAAATCAGCCGTGGTCGCGTGATGCTGGCAATGCTA